CTGATCTAAATCTTTGCTGAAGTCTTAAGGGTTCCTGACATTGAAAAATGCTTTCATTCACATGTACAATATATATTGATAGTTCTATGAAGAAAATCTTCAGAAAGCAGTAATTTGAGAAACCACTAGAGGGCAGCAATAGCACGTGTGCTTTAAAAAAACTTTCCCACAAGCCACCAGGCATTAAACTTTTTAAGCCACAATTCATTATGAATGTATTTCAAGATGACTCACACTGCAAAAAACACAATCATCATCATCATGTTACTTTATTTAAAAAATTATCAATGATCCATTATGTATAAGTTGTCTCTATACGAAAGTCAACGGCTCCTTTCACTGAATCCCCACATCCTTTGACAGCGCATTTACCACGGGACAGCAATTATTACATGACTGTCTCCTCCACTCCGAGTGGAGCTCCTAGGCTCACAGGTTCCCACTTAGGGAACTGGTGCAAGGTACCACCAGCTTCTGGAACACAACAGACACTCAAAAAAAGAAAGAAAAGAAAAAGAAAATGAAGACTGCCTAAAGAATAAAAAGATCAAAGTATCAGAAACAGCCTTCACATGTTTTGGTAATGAAGAAAAACATTAAACTCCAAAGGCACAAACAAAACCAGCCAAACATGCACACAATCAACAGTCCTTAAAATATCCATCATAGAGGCTGGGAAGAAAATAATTCACTGTAGACCTTTTGAAATCTTTTCAGTGTTGTACTATATGAATTTCCTATTCCAAAACACATAACAAAAGATAATAAAAGTTACTTTTTAAAAAAAAAAAAAGGTCAAACACTTGCCCACACTTTTCTTCCTCTAACAAACGTAAATAAAGCAAGACTCAGGACAGCAGGCAAAACTACTGGTCGTTAGTCCACTTCGTTTTCTCCATGCTGACCTCCCTGTCGAGATAACAGATTTAGAATTTACCATACTAGCAGCGACAGACACTATTCTAAGCTTCTTTCATTTAAATAACCCCTTCATTCCTCACACCAACCCTGTGTGCAGAGACTATTATCACCTCCACTTCCCGGATGAGAGAACTGACGCATACACAGGAGCAAAGCACCGCCCCTAAGTGATTAAAACAAGACTCCAGTCCAAAGCTGTGTGACTGCAAAGCCACAACTGGGAGATTGGGATTGACATATACACACTACTACACATAAAACAGATAACTAATAAAGACCTACTGTAGAGCACAGGGAACGCTACTCAATACACTGTAATGACCTATACGGGAAAAGAATCTAAAACAGTGTAGATATATGCATATATATAAATGATTCACTTTACTGTACAGCAGAAACTAACACAACATTGTAAATCAACTCTACTCCAATAAAAATTAATTTAAAAAAGAAAAGAAAAGAAAGGAAACATCCCAAAGAGGACCTATTGCTACCCGCCTGGGTAAGACCTTCAGCCTAACAACGCCCCTCTGCGCCCCCTGGAGAACTGAGAGCAAAATCCTGGCGCCCATCGTGCATCCCCGGCACCGACGCCCGGAAAAGGATACCCACTGCAAGGACCTTCCCCTCCAGCGTCTCTGGGTTGACCTGCCGCCCGGAGCACTCCAGCAGCTTCCAGAGGCCCTGGACTCCCATGAACGAGGTGTGTGCCCTCGGAGCGCGTCTCGCGGGCGGGATCGCGGGAGACCTTTCACTCCGAGTCTTCCACAAGGGGCTGCACCAACGCCCCGGACCCCGAAAAGAGCTCCCAGAGCTTCCACCCGGAGAAGACGGAAAACAACCAGGAGCGCACAGCTTTCCAGGGAAAACCGGCCCCGGCGAAAACCGCACTTCCCAGAACCTGACACGGCCTCGCGTTAGAAAGACGGGCCCAGAGAAAGTCGGAGGCACAGAGGAACAGGTCCTCGTCTCGCCCAGCGCTTTGGCCCAAACTTCTGCACTCCTAACAGATGACCAGGGTAAGGGGACAGCTCAGGCGAGATAAACAGCCAAAAGACGTCCCTCAGGCAACCCGTCTCCTCTAGGGGGACCGTAAACTCACACGAAATGGAGCCGCCCGGCTTCCGTTTAATGCGGCGCGCAGGGCGGAAGTCCCGCCTCCCCACGCTGATGTATATCCGCTGCGCCATTACACTCCGGAAGTGAGGGGGTTGGTTCGGTCTTCGTGTTTGTATCGTGTTGGCGCCGTGCTTCCTCCACCCTGGGATCTTGTTGCGGTTAAATGTTGAAAGCGTCCGCAAAGCGTCTGCCTTCAGAGGTTGTGGTTTTCTAGGTGCTTTACTGGTATCAGTTTCTTTCCACTGAGCCGCCACTTGTGAAAACTCTTAATACTATTGTTTTACATGTGAAAGATGGACCCTTTGGTTGGTGTTTGTAATTAATAAGTATTTATTTGTCCGGTAACTTATGGTAACTAGGTGGTAACACGATTTAAAATCTTAACCCTTGAAATATAGTCTTCTCCGGCCTGTAAAATTTAGGAATCCACGGCATGTAGGTCAGAAGTAACAAAAAACGAATTGCCAGATTAGCACCTGGGTAGACGGTGGCTCGGACCCTCGGGCTGAGATTCACAGAGCGACTGAGGTACGTTATGATGTTTATCGTTGTTCAAGTCGCATTTGTTCAGAGTTCGTCTCTTCATCTGTAAACTGAACGGGCATAAAGCCAATCTTGCAGACGGTTTTAAGCAAGGATCAGAGGTAATGTTTGCAAAGTACTTACCACTCGGAGTTAATAAATGATAGCCTTATCGTACATATTGGTTCAAATTTGGACTATTGAAACTAGATTCAAAATCACTGAAAAGATTGATTAGAAATCAGTTTAGCAAAGCTATGTTCTTGTCCAAACAGATGGTTTCCCAGTAGCCAAGTTTACTTGACCTAGTCACAACTAATTTTCTGTCAGGGATAATCCTGACAAAGTACTTATTTTCATTTCCTCAGTGTGTAAAGTAATCCCCAGAACTGTTGTTCCAAAATGTATTTTGCCGGAATTAATATACTCGCCTGTTCAATTTTTGTTTCCCCCCCGCCAGTAGTTTACAGTAGACTGTAAATTTATTGAAATCAAGAACTATTTTGTTGATTTACATACCCCATTCCTGATATTTAGCAGGAATCCTATAAATATTGCCTAAATGACCACTTTCCCAGCGTCAAGTCTAAATCTCTGCAGGGCATCTTGAACCCTGTTGAAAGAGAATTTCCACAAGCCAGGCAGATGTTAGTTCAGATCCCATCTGAGCCATGTCATAACCCTGAGTTATGGGCTGAATTGTGTCCCCTTCCAAAATTCATATGTTGAAGCCCTAATCCCCACCCAATACCTCAAAATGTAACTGTTTGGAGATAGGGCCATTTCAAAGTTAAGTTAAAAGGAGGCCATTAGGGTGAGTTAATCAATCTGACTGATGTCCTTATAAGAGGGAATTTGGACACCCTGACACTAAGGATAATTGCACAGAGGAAAAACCATGTGAGGGCACAGGGAGAAGGGGGCCAGCTGCAAGCCAAGGAGAATTCAAGAGAAACCAAACCTGTCAACATCTTGATCTTGGACTTCTATCCTCTGGAGCTATGAGAAAATAAATGTGTTGTTTAAACCACCAATCTGGTATTTCATTATGGCAGCCCTAGAAAACTGAGACATCCTAGGATCCTAGGCAAGTTTCTTCACCATTGAGAATCTGAATAAAATGGAGATGCCACTTCTTTTGTGGTTGCTCTGAGATCAGTGACTTAACATGAAACACCTAGTGGGTAATGGTGCTCAAATTAGTTTGTTGAGTGAATGAGGGGGAGAACTCTGGGGGTAAAATTGAAATACAGAGTGTGACTGGATTGTAGATCACCTTGCCTGAGCCCCTCCAGTGTCTGGGAGAAGGCAAGTTGGGAAGTATTATAGCTGCTGCACCAGCTTGGCCTGATGATGGGGCTTAGTAGTGGGAAAAGTAAGTTTCAGGATTTGATCATTTTTTACTACCTGAGAGCTGGGTAAAAACAAATAGCCAATGTGAACATTTCAGTACTACAAGTGCTTGTAAAACCAGAGCAACATTTCTTGAATACAAAATATTTTTTTAAGGAACAGCAACTAAGGAGGGTACACTTGATTTGTAAGAAATTGGTTCCTTTAGATGCTGTTTAAAGGGCTCTCCATCAAGATTCTGATAGGAAAATACAAATCGTTTAGGCCAATAATAATATCAAGCACTTAAAGAGCAATTCCTATCTACAAAGCACTGTTCTAAACACTTTACATGTATTAACTTATTTATTCTTCAAAACAATTCATAAAATAGATACTATTATCCCCCTTTTACCAATGAGGAAATATGCACAGGAAAAATAATCTCAACTCGCCCAAGGTGATACAGCTAGTTAGTGGAGAGCCAGTAATATGAACTTTCATTGCTTCTATGGAGACTTCTAAGAAAAATTGACCAAGAAATTAAATATGACAGGAATGTTACTAATCTTGAAAGACAAAGGTGCAGTCACTTGCTTACACATTCTGGAAAAGCAGTCCCTGTAAGTCTCGGTGTGCTCTTAATAACTGCCAAACTTGTAAGCCAAGTTATTAAGTGATTGGATATATTAAGACATTTATAAAAGTTGATTATGCCAATAAGCAATACGTATAAACTCATCCTCTTTTCCTAGATGTCACTATATTCTCTATTTTATGTTGCATTCATCTCCTTTCTTTACCAATCTCTTCTCTGAAATATTTGGCTGAACTATATGCAATTGCTGATATTCAACCATATTTGACCTACAAAAATTACAGTTTAATTTGGTTCAAGCTAAAGAATTAAGTTTTCTATTTCCTCTTATAAAGTCTTAACAAAAATCTAAAATTATAGACATATGCATATTGTCTCACTGATTATAAAAGTCAGATAGAAGATGTTTCTTTTACTACTTACACAGAATTGACAAATTGTCATGTACTTCAAACAAGATTGTAAGGGTACTCCCTTCTTAAAACAAAGGTTCAAAACATTCTCATGATTAAAAGTAGAAAACAAAACTTTATTGATGAAAACTTCTTAAAAGTTCCAGTATGAAGTAACAAAATCAACAACCTACAAATCTTTCAGTCCTTTGCATTTCAAGCAAAATACTCTCTTCAGAAAAATGCCCATTTCATAATATATATCCCCTTCTGTAGGCTAGGCATGTCTGAGTGGATAAATGGATATAAAATTCAAAAGAGAAGAAAATGAAAATATTTTAAAAATAAAAATCTGAACCTTCTCCTTGAGGTGTATTACGATGTGGTTACCAACATATTCAGCACCTTGTAATAATCAAGTTACTGATTTGAGTCCCAGAACAGCCCCTGAAATGAAAGAACAAGAGATCCTAGTTGTTTGTGAGTCATAGGTTGGCAGCAGAAGAAAAACTGACAGCAACTGGAGAGGAGCTTAAATACATGAAATCCACACTTTCTGAACTATTTCACACTCACTTCAAGCAGCTAATTGTCTACATGTTTTAAAAAGGAAAGAGCTCAGAGTCTGGAATATGGATAGTTGCCCTCTGAGTGATGGGGCATTCCTAACACGTCCTTAATTCTGTTATCAACATATGACGCCATACTGGGGGACCAGTCAAATATCAGATCTCATCTCACAGGTTACCTTGTGTATAGAAACTTCAGATGCCACTTGTTCTTTTACTCTACCCCTAAAGCAAGGTTTATTGTAGACTTACGAGTCTTTCAAGACCTAAAGTTCTTGTCAGCATTTGACAGTAACATACCAAGAAAGTCAAGAGTACCTGAATCGATGCACTAAGTCACCCATCTGCACCAATAGAAAAGATCAGTAGCTTGAGTCTTTTCTCTTTTGCCTCTTTATTGAGAATCCTGAGAAAGTTGATCAGGAAAAAAATGAGGCAGGCAAGATACCACTACAAGTAAAAGAATTTCTAGACTAAGTCATTTTAAATGAGCTTTAACCACTAGAGAAAAACTAGAAATCAACAGCCCCAATTTTTCTGGGCAGATACTTAGTACCTTACATTTCGAGCTTGGGAACAAAACTGCAACAAATATCTGGGGGTCAAGTCATAAGAAATCACTTCATGCTTAAGTATTTCAAATCGTGATGCTATTGAGTGAAATTGTGTTTGATTTGTTTATGTGTAATTTTATTGGACTTTGTGAAACTGCCCAGAATGTTTATATACTCTTAACTTTTAAAAGGACAAAAAAACTCTGTGCTTATCTGTTTATATACCAGAAATCACCCATCATAATCATATGCAAGCTTATTTACTGGAGAAACTACAAGGTTATGTGTTGTACCACAAGATATGTTGCTATTTAATACAGACTTAAAATCTTGTACTGCCTTAATGCAGTCCTGTATAGACCAGCTGCGTGAATAACACAAGTCGTCAGTACGCAGCATGGTCAGTCATTCCCATCGTAATCACTGTAACCCTGGTAACCACTGTTCCTTCTCTCATGGATACTTGACATCTTTTTCCATGTCAAGTCCTGATGGAAACTAGCGCTAAAAGACCGGCCCAGACGCCCATGCTGCTTCTTGGAGATATTGTCCTCACTCTCAGATTTGGCAATTCCCTGGGCATGTGTTGAAGGTTGTGATTCTTGCCTAATGGTTCCAAATGGAAAGTTCCAAAGGCCAAATCTTTGCCAGTTAAGTCTCTGGAATGCTATGATGCAATGCAGGTTTCCTCCAACCTGAGAAAAAAAAATGTTGGATTCAGAAAATGATAGGAAATTAATTATACTAATATGTGGGTTCCCATGAATTCCCTTATTTTTCCCCATTCACCTGCATCAAAACAGTGCTGATCCTTTGATTCATAATCATATCACATTATCTTGCATCTTTCCTGACCAGCTGTCTTTACAAAAATATAACAATGCCCACAGGAGGCAAAACCCCTTCCCCCCATATGCCTGTCTACCACTCACACACGCTGTACCTGCCCAAGTTGACTAATCCAAACACCAAGATCATTCCTCTTCCTCTCCCTCCTATGCATTCTTCATATGATAGTAGGATAATATGGATGGGATGTCTACTCAATCCACAGAACATACCATTCCCTGAGAACCGCCCCCAGCAGCCTTGTTGGTACACATGGCTCTGCCCCATGGCCACAGTTAATTGCCCTGGGAGTGAACACCTGACCCAAGCTGGGCCAAGACTACAGAACTGGGCTGGAGGCATGCCACTCTTAGTCTCGACCGTTCATCTGAAAGGGAGACCTAAGTTGAAAGATGATCTTCGGGAAGTAAACAGACAAATAGACAGCTAAGAACAACACAACTCCCAAGAGAATAAGACTAACTCCCTGGCCCCTGCTAACATTCTCTTGCGTGGTACCAGTTCCCCCTGAATCCAGGCTAGACTTCTTAACCTTTCCTTTTGAAGATACCCCTGTGTCCTTAAAGTAATTTTCACTTTTCTGTCTAAAATGGTCTGAACTGGGTTTCTGTTATTTACAACCTAGAGTGCTGGGTAAAATAATTGCATTTTGGCCAGTTGAGAAATACTTTGAAATACAATGGTGTTCTTACCTTCTTCGTTTTTCGATACTGCAGCCCCCTCTCTAAGTGCCGGATATCTAGATATTCTGGATTTTGAGTGTTTAGATCAGTAACAATATCTGCCCACCTATTGTTAAGGAAGGATAAAGCACAGTTTTCTTTAAGTTCAAAATACTATCGTAATGGAACTTTTCACATGAGCAATTTGCTAAAGAAGCACCATGGCAATAATTCTCTTATCACAGTATTGTTGCATCCAATAAGCTTTCATAAATCCTTGTTTTTATGACAATTCTGTTTATCCAACTATTGCCAAGGTTAAAAGTGGTTACTCTGCATATGAAATAACTATATATCAGCCTGTTAGATGACATCCTGCAGGGTAACACAGAAACATTCGATATTTCCTTTTTAATTGGAGTCAAGTACATTTTCAAAAGATTTATAAGTTAATATGTCTTTACTCACAAACAACATGATTGATTGTAAAGAAAATCCAAAGCAATTTGTAAGTGCTTTGGATTGCAAAACTATTACTAAAACCAATAAGTGAATTTGGTAAAGATGCAAGATTTAAGTCCTATATAGAAAAATCCATTGTATTTCTGTACACTAACAGAAAATAATTGGGAGATGAAATGTTTTAAAAATCAATTTGCAAGAATAATATCTTGTAATAACCTATAATGGAAAATAATCTGAAAAAATATATATATATATATATATATAACTGAATCATTTTGCAGTACATCCAAAACTAACACAACATTGTAAATCAACTATACTTCAATTAAATAAATTTACAATAGCATCAAAAAATATACACAGGGAAACTTTTAACAAAATACATATAAAACTCTATGCTAAAAATACAAAACATTGCTGAAAGAAATTAAAGCTCTAATTAAGTGGAGATATAGTCTATGTTCATAATGGGAAGACTCCATATTGTTCAGATGTAATTCTCCCCAAACTAAACTATGGATTCTATGGATTCTACTCTACTCAAAATTCCAACAGGCTTTTTAGCAGAAATTGAAAAAAAGGGGGAGAGGGAAGGAGTTAACATACTTTTTGCAGTGAATAGCAGGATGTTTTCTACTTGATTCTCCAATTAAGATCCAATATTCTACTTCTTGTGGTGAGAGGGGGCCCCTGCTAAATAAAAAATACATTCACAGTAAGCTTCATAAAGTCATTCACCTCCTTGAAAATACTGCTTCAATTATACACTGATAAAAGGTACACTGAAGTTTATGCATAGATAGCAGTCACCAACACTAGAATAGATATTGGAGTTTAGGCTTGAACAAATATCTGAAGGCCATTAAAGAGAAAGCATAAATTAAATTTAGGTTTAGAGGGCTTCCCTGGTGGCGCAGTGGTTGAGAGTCCGCCTGCCGATGCAGGGTGCACGGGTTCGTGCCCGGTCCGGGAAGATCCCACATGCCGCGGAGCTGCTGGGCCCGTGAGCCATGGCCGCTGAGCCTGCGCGTCCGGAGCCTGTGCTCCGCAACGGGAGAGGCCACAACAGTGAGAGGCCCGCATACCGAAAAAAAAAAAATTTAGGTTTAGATCCCCTCTTACAAAATATAGGGCTAAAAATCCACCTCTCAGCATTTAGGAGGAAAAAAAAAAATCCTAGCATGCTACCCACCAGTACCCTTAAGCTACACTTCTTTCAGTTTGCATTCAAAAGGCATCCCAAAGATAAAACCCTAAAGCAGGGCTTCCCTGGTGGCGCAGTGGTTGAGAGTCCGCCTGCCGATGCAGGGGACACGAGTTCGTGCCCCGGTCTGGGAAGATCCCACATGCAGTGGAGCGGCTGGGAAGATCCCACATGCAGTGGAGCGGCTGGGAAGATCCCACATGCAGTGGAGCGGCTGGGAAGATCCCACATGCAGTGGAGCGGCTGGGAAGATCCCAAAAAAAAAAAAAAAGAAAAACCCTGAAGCAGCAATACACCTGTAGAACTTTTAAACATACTGACATCCTAACCCCACCCCTGGAAACTCTAATTCAAGTAGGTGTAGGGTGGAGCACAGGGAAGTATTTACGCAGCTGTAAAAGCATCTCAGGTGGTTCTTAGGTTCAGGCAGAGGTGAAGAGCTCTCCTCTAAAGGGGGACAAGTAGGAGTACCTACTTCTTCGTTTTACATTTGACAGGTGTCTGGAGTAAGGTGAAGCTGCAGGATCAAACTATAGAAAAAAACCACAATAAACCCCACAGCCAGAGAGATGAATAGGACACTTAAGCATCTGGAGAGACACCGTGGTTTTTCTCTTGCTTCTCATTCACAAAAATACAACGTCCAGCTTCCCCACCCAAAGGCCGCATGGCCTCCAGCCTCAAAGAGCCCATCCTACCCCAGATGACCAAGCCACGTTCTCCCAGCCTGACCTTCAGCCCTCGCTGAGAAAGCAATGCTGCCTGTTCTCCTTCTCATTCACCAATGCCACCCACCCAGATAGAACAAACCAGAACTCAGCTGGGTGAGGATAACTGTGCCTATCAATCAACGGTTCTACTCAGAGTACTCATGGCTTCTGTTTTCAACATTCTCAAATAGGACACTTCTTCCTCTGCTTTCAACTACCCATCTCAACCCATCAATAAGAAAACTTGCTAAGGAGGAAAAAAAGTATTAACATTCAGTCACCCTCTCTTATTTACAGGCTGTCTCTTCTAAAACAATACAAGTTTACCTGGAAGTAGACATACATAGTTAATAAAATAGAAACTTTGGATCAACAAAGGAACAAATATAACCATTAGGGTAATATGGTTCTTGATATTAGAAATAAAAATTGGCTGCAGGCTTCCTGGTAGCCAGGACAAAAGGGGAACCCTGATAAATTTCACGTTATTCACCATAAGAAAGGAAATGCTTTTTCATGTACTCAGTTGCGACAGTCTTCTTGACACTAGATTCCACAGTACATTATCCCTGTGGGATCCTGGATGAGATCACGGAGACATAATATGTAAAGTCCTTTGCGGCCATTTTATAATAAACATAAAAGTGATTTTTCAAATGGCTTTCTCTTTTCATGACTCTAACAATAGTATCTAAGTGGATAATGTAAAAGCACAATTAACCAAACAATTCTGCAGAAGATTAAGCTACTATGTTTAAAAGACTAGTCTCAGTTGTTGTAAGGAAAGCAAATCACCAAGTCTTCCAATGTCTAATCAACCAAATATTTCTTAAATGCTTTCTACAATATATTTTCCTGGTGGAGTATCCACATAAAATACAGAAATGCTTACCTGAATGCTTTATTAGCTTTAACAGGGGTTGCTTCAAAGCCAATTGGACAAAAATAATGATTTTGACAATGGTAGATATAAGCTAACGATTCATCTTTCAATCCATGAGTTAATTTCGACAAGGCCCCGGAAGCTACAAAAAACAAAAACAAACCAACTGAGGGACCATAAAGCACTATCTATGCTTTATACAAACAACTTGTTAAGGACTCAAAGACAGAAAAGATATTACTTGGAACACATGGACGTTGCTGGGGAAAAACAATGAAAAGCTATCTAAAGGTTAAAAAATAATTAATGGATTTCAGTTTTGCCCTTTAGACTGAAATTCAGGCAAACTGAATAGCAAACTAAAAAACTGAAAGTCCTTGCTTACCCAAACCTTCAAATAGCATACATGCTTGTCTACAAAATTTAATTACCATGTAAAACCTAATACCTAGTGTATACAGCAATGGTCTCAACTCCTCTGGTTGTACACATCTGTCACTTGAAATTTCTGAGTAAGCATGCCCATTATAAGCATGTTTGTTTATAAGCTTTGTACATATACTACTGTACTAATATGTCTTTATAAAAGATACACAAAAAGTAGAAATTTTTAATTAGATTAAAATATAAACATTCTAATACATTCTTCCCATACCACAATGATCACCTTGCAGCTGCCATAATGCGGACATCCCAATCTGAGGACCACTGCGGTATATGGATAAATATAAACTCCAAACAAGTTCCAAAAATGAAAACTTTTCCCCACTAACACACACTTCAATCCCTTCTACAAGTCACACAAACCAGAGGAAAGACTTTCACAAGCCAAGTGATAAGAACATCTTAAGAGACGGGCTGGTAGTACCACAGCATCCTCTTAATAACTGCTTCTCCTTGTATATTTCCCATGGCTGCATATATTACTTATGAAGTAATTTCAAAAGTATTACCATAAGAAATGACGCACACAAGGCAATCTGTTCTACTAAAATCTCTATTTCATAAGGATAAATAGGTCTTTCTGCTGTTTTGGGTTGATTTCCCCAGACGAGTTAAAAACTGACATCCAAGGGCAGCTCTAAATGAAGAATGATAAGACCTAAAATTCAGAAGATGGTCAATATTTCATTTCTATAGCTGAACTTGATTGTAGAGATGTTTCAGGATAGTAAGCAAATGTAAATAGACAGATTTAGACTCCTCATAAATTCAGTAAATACTAAAGATGTTTATACACATAAGTGTTTTAGAAAGAACTCTTGAAATCTTTTTAAAATTGTGAAAATGCCAAGTAAAAAGTTATCTGAAATAACTAAAACTTTTTCATGAAAGAACTTTATTGTAGCTTCCTAATGGAAATCTTTAAGTATTTCACACTTTCCTCCTTAAGTCAAATGTAACACAAAACAGCTGATTACTGTGATTATGAATAGTAGTCACATAAATATACTAGAATATATTCAGGGGCAAATGAGATAGTTATGAACATTTGCTCTCATTAATATTCACAGTATTTCATCTGCTACAAATACTCTATGACCAAGTCCTAGTTTTCTAGAGGACAGAGGTGGTGTTTCTTCTTTGGCATAATTATCATGCTCCTCAAGAATGTTTCTTCTTCTTACTTCAGGGTTACATGACAACATTCTGATAGATTTAGGTTAGGAATCAGCGAACTTTTTCCTAAAGGGCCAGTTAGTAAATGTTGGAGGTTTGTGGATCATGGGCAGTATGCACACTACTCAACTCTGCCACTGTAGCTGAAAGCAGCCACAGACAAAAGCAGCCAAAGGCCATGTGTAAGCAAATGGATACGTCTTTGTGCCAATAAAACTTTATTCACAAAATGGGCTGCCGGCTCATGGGCTGTTGTTTGCAGACCTCTAATTTAGATCAATAATTTTCAAACATATTTTGAGATGGAATCCCTTCTGCAAGGGAAATTTACATGCCAGCCCAGTCCATAACAGGGATCAAAGCAGAGTTGCTGTGGCCAAAGAGGAGGAATAGGGAATCTAGGTGCCCACCCCTTGCCCCCCATCAGCCCGAGGCAAACTCAACTGAGCACAGATTGAAATTTGCACACTGAATTTCCTATCAATGGAAGGAAATTCCTATCTGAACTTCCTATCAATGGAAGGAAATTCCTATCTGAATTTCCTATCAATGGAAGGAAATTCCTATCTGAATTTTCTATCAATGGAAGACCACACTCTTTATAAAGAAGCTGAATAGAATCTCTTTAGAAAGACTACAGCAGTAGTTCTCAAACTAGAGCACAAAGGGCTTGTTAAATAACAGATTGCTGGTACCTACCCCCTCGGTAACTGACGCAGTAGGTCTGGGGTGGGGACCAAGAATTTGCGTGTCTAACAAGTTATCAGGTGATGATGATATTCATCCAGGGGCCACATTTTGAGAGTCACTGGTCTAAGATTAAGAGGAAAATTTCGTTTAACTCAACTCAGGAAGTAAATTATGAGCATCTACTAACTACAACAGCAACCACAGGGAAACAAGAGATAAGGAATACACAGTACCTCAAGCTGCCCTCGTAAAACAAGTAACTTTGATATAGGGTGGAAAAGGACAATGCCACAAAAAAAGGGTGTAATTCAAAGGAGAAAGCGCACATCAGGTTTGAGGAACCAAGAAGGGGGTGGCACCCAAGACAGAACATAATCAAGTGGCAGCATTTCAACAATCCAGACAGAGGAAAGAGCATGAGGAGAAAACAAAACCACTGCAGAGGAGGGATGGAATCAGGGAACAGCGTGTAGCCCAGTTCAGAATGTAGGGCACGACAGTGTGGAGAGGCCTACAGTAGGGCACCCCCAGAATTTCAGGATAAGGTCAGAAAAAGATCACCCTCTGAAATAAAAGACAGTAAAGACAATATTTAATACATTAAGCTAGTCATCCAAGAAAGTGATTCTATTTAGGAGAAGACATATAAATGTGTTACAGATGGAAACTAAATTCAGAACGACGTTGAGTCTAGACCAGAGTATATCGAAAAATCTGAAACTTAAGAGACAAAGCAACCACTACCAAACACAGAGCCATGATGTGCATGGTGTAGAGAATGCAGAACAAACTAGAATTAGCCAGCCTGCTGTACTGTGAAGAACAGTATATGTCCTGAGCAGCCGAGAGAATGCTGGTGCTTTTGATAGTGTATTTCTCACTCTCAGTTAATATATTAACATACTAACATTTTTTGAGCTTGTTTAGTACAAGTCAGTTTTGTAAAGCCTTATCATCTATAGAAGAACTCCAGAGAACTCTAAAAGAACTTATTAGGATGTATTTTTATACCCTCAAAGACAAGGACCAGATTCTGTAACCCAGCAACATAGTATCATCCTGCAAGGGTCCTCCTCCCTTGACATCTTTTAAATCCAACTGGTACGTGGAGGACAGCAGGGAAAGACCAATCTGTTCTTGCCTGGAACGATGCTAAGGAGTTTACGCTTTAAGCAAGCACTAGAGAGCTCCCAAAGTAAAAAGGGATATATTCGCAACACACGTCAAAAAAATTTATCCAGGCTTGTGTCTAATATGAACTGGAGAAAACCAGAGGACGAGGAAAACAGAATATGAATGCACAGTCCATCCAAGATGCATTAAGACACTGTAGTTAACTGGTAGCAATGGCCAGGGTGTGGGTATACATGAGTTATGTCAGGATAGGGCAGAGGTAGATATTCTTGGCTAAGCAAATATAAGAAGTTACAATATCTACCAGAAGAATAAAAATGAAATACATGAATATTAGTGTAATTTTCAAGCTAGGTATTAAAAACAAACGAATCTAGACAAACTTGGTAGCTAAGTGAACCAACAGTTTGAAGTTACTCAAATAATAATAAAATAATAATAATACAATAATAGGAAGTGAATAATAAGTGAACCAATAGTTTGAAGCTAACATTGGCAACTTCTGGCACAAATTTTTATTATGAGTAATTACATCTCTAAAAAAAATACTTCAACTCATATTCATAGTCAAACCTATTAATTTTGTCTTTATTCCAGGAGTGAGCTCAGTTTACATTTCCTGAAGGCCCACTGGAAATAAGCATGTCGATCAGCAAATAGGGAGTTACGAAAGAAGCGTAGTCCCCAGGAAAACGTAAAGCCTGTTGTGGGAAACAGGCCTGATATTCCTTAAAAAAAAATCTAAACAACAACAACAACAAAAGATACAAAGTATTTTCTTAAATGCACACTAACAACTAGCAATGGTTTTCACTACTGAATATCCCAGAGACAAATGAGAAAAGCCTATCTCTGCAGCTCTTTCTTCTACAATGAGAGGGAACAGAAAAGGCTTCTGCTTGACACGGGTAGTACTCTCCCAACTCTGAACACAATCAGAAGTCCCAGGGTCACATGTGCAAGGCCAGGGGGCATCAAAGGGCTATTGAGGGCACTCCCTACGGTCAAGGAGACGGGCAGACACGTGAAAAAGATGCAATGTAATATAAAGCTGCACACTCCAAATGCTAAACAACAGATGCAAACAATCAGAACTAAAGGAATTAAGAGAAATCCAAGCATCAGAGATAAGGCAGGGCTTGCAAGGGACCACTGATTCTTGAAGCAGAAGACAAGGATATTCCAAGGGGGAAGCAGATCAAATATCCTTCAGGAAACACACATAGACAAAGAGACAGTGAGGAGTGAAGGGTTGTAATGGGGACGATGAACACAGGAATCAAACTGGGAAAATATAGTATTGAAATTTATTTAAAGAAATTACAGCAACCATTCCTTTCCCCTCCCAAAAAAGAGGGGGTGGGGGGAGAGAAGAGCTTATTTATCCTATTACTCGAAGGAAAAACACGGAGCTATGTTGGAAAGTATATTCTTTCTTAGTTTCTAATTGCCTGATCAATTACTGAGAGAGATTGTGTTGACAGCCTCACTGGAAACAAACAAAAAAAATTACACACCATGTAAAGCCGTCCTTCCCACGAAGACAGGCCCCACTGCAAATGCACAGAGTTCAGTTAGGAAGAATAAAAGCTAACATTTATTGAGTCCTTACTCTGTGTCAAGCAAGGTATCAAGTGTATTACAAATATGTCTCCTTTTATCTTCACAGTGACCCCATGGGGTGGCTCAGTAAGTGAGTGTTTACGTGCCTTGTTCAAGGTCACAAAACCAGTATGTGCAGAAACCAACATATGAACTCCAAGTTTGCCTGACTCACAACCAACTTGATAGACCTGCTAAAGGTCAACAGAAATATACCCTATTCTTTGTTCACTCCTTGATTTTGATAAACCATATACCCTCTCTGCTGACAGACTCCTGCTTGACCAAACTTCAGTTAGGCATCTCTGAGCCCTCTCCTCAGCTAGGCTTGGACCTTGGGCTTCTGTGTCCATCCTTGCTGAATCCAGTTTTAGCAAAATTCCTGCTGAAATCAGCTTAGAGAGAATCCCCCCCACCCTGAATACCTGATCAAGGTCCTCACCCTTCACCCTTGGCCGCTCACTTTGGGAGTTGGCTACAAATTCCCAGCTGTCTTTGTTGTATTCAGGGTTGAGCCAGATCTCTCTCCCATATCCCAGTTCTGCGTTACAACAGTCTTCAGTAAAGTCTTCCTTACCCTTTTAACAAGTGTCAGAATAAAATTTTCAAGTATCAGAATAAAATTTTCTTTAAAATTTTCCTTAACACTGTATTGTAGGTTTCTGATTGTAAAGTCAAAAGATGACTGTGAAGGGGCTTCCCTGGTGACGCAGTGGTTGAGAGTCCGCCTGCCGATGCAGGGGACGCGGGTTCATGCCCCGGTCGGGGAAGATCCCACATGCCGCGGAGTGGCTGGGCCCGTGAGCCATGGCCACTGAGCCTGCGCGTCTGGAGCCTGTGCTCCACAACGGGAGAGGCCACAACAGTGAGAGGCCCGCGTACCGCAAAAAAAACAAAAACAAAAACAAAAATAAAAGACGACTGTGAAATTTTTAAAATGGAAATTGTCAAATAATGCAAATTATTTAACTAGTGCATAACTAAAACAATTCTAAGGATCAACTCCAAAACTCTCTGTTATAATCAAGACCCTTCTAAAATAGAACTTTGTCCCTTTCATAGTTCATTGTCCTGTTGTTATATGTTATTATGCAGGTCTGACATCAAATATTCTAAAATCCTTGCATTCCCTTTTAGGAAGAGGAACTGCAAATTCCATGCCGCTTCCTGAAAGGGTTTCAGTAGCAGGCAAGTAAGCACATGTGTGCACGCGCGCGCGTGCGCGCGTGCGCACACACACACACACACACACACACACACACACACACACACACACGAACACCATGGACCCAAACAATACAGTGTGTTAAAGTAGTGTTTATGACATGCCTTGAAGCTTTAAAAGTTCTTCATGCAAAGATGAAAAGAATTAAAATATTAAACTGTATATCGAAAAGTGCCCTACATATTACTGTTATCTATTATGATTTCCCCTTGGATAAAGAGTGATACACTGTAGACTGTATTTAGGATTTACATCATGTGCCATGAATCAAAACCAATCTTCAAGATGGATCCTAAAGCGTGTGTGTGTGTGTGTGTGTGTGTGTGTGTGTGTGTAAATCTTCCACATGTTTACTTACCAGTTTCTCCAGCTGTTTTATTCTTCCCATGAGGCTTATATAGAACATACGAGCACCCTTTTACGTGGAAGTGGTCATTAATTTGTCTAAACCATCTGAAAATAACAAGAAGACTCACTCATAGCAACAGTTCCATAACAAAGAAGGCACTATTCCAATTCCAGAGAAATTCAGGCAGAGCCCAAGTCTGGCATATCTACCAGAGGTTGGGCCCAAACAGCTGGATGCATGGTTTACTATCAATGCACATCTACAGCATTATTATTTTGCAGAACTAGAAATAAGGTATTGCTTCTAAGCGAGGGCTTCGTACCTCATAAGTGTCGTATTTCCAGTGAAAGGGCCGAACCTAATATCCTCAAACGGGGGTTGAAAACCCAAAATATGTAAAGCTTCTTCTTGGGTGATAGCTGGAAGACTACGAAAGAAATATTGTCTTTCATTTCACAGTTCCAATCATATGCAAATATAACCTGTCTCAATGTTACTGTGTCTGTCTGATTTGCAAACAATTTTAGTAGTATTTTTCATTTTTATTTTATCAAAAATAATGCATGCACATATTTTTAGCTAAAAGGCTTAAAACAAAATACGGCAGTTTTTCCCCAATTTATGAAAAATCTGTTCTTAAAAATCTTCCATTATAGAAAAAGCAACACCTAATAACTTTTGAATTTGAAGTTGAGGGATACCACTAAATTAACATACTTACTTTCCAGCTCCCATTGTGCTGTATAAGAAATTCCAACAAGAAATTAATGAGGAGATACCACAAGAAGTCTTATACTGTGGTCGGCTTATGCAGTACCTGAGAAAATAAAAGACTGTTTTCACTTGAATGAATACAAAATATACATACAGAAATAGAACACTCATGGCAACTGAGTGTGTTACATAATGAAAACTTTGATCATTTAAACCACCAGTGTAAAATCTTTATTCATTTATTTTCATATTTATTCAACACATTATAAATGCATAATGACAATAAATCATGTATTTTAAGAATGATGGCTAAGTATGACTAACTATTAGTTAAAGTGGATGTTACCCAAGCCAATGGAAAAAAAATTAAAGATATATAAATTTAGACACCAACTATTAAAATTTCAATGTAAACTCCTAGTTGAGCTACACATATGATTATTTGCAACTTCAGTTGTAGTTCTTTATACAGTCTGGATATTAACCCTTTATCAGATATGTGATATGCAAATGTTTTCTCCCACCTTGTAGGTTGCCTTTTCACTTTGTTGATTATTTCCTTTGACGCACAGAATTGTTTAAGTTTGATGTCGTCCCATTGGTTTTTCTTTTGTTACCTATGCTTTTGGCATCATACCCCAGAAATCAATGCCAAATCCAATGTCATGAAGCTTTTCCCCTATGTTTTCTTCTAGGAGTTTTATAGTTTTAGGTCCTACATTTATGTCTTTAATCAATTTTGAGTTATTTTTTGTGTATGATGTGAAGAAAAGGTCTTAAAAGACCTTTTAAGAGGTCTTTTAAGGTATCCTTCATTCTTTCACATGTGGGTATCCACTTTTCCCAGCACCATTTTCTGAAGAGACTGTCCCTTCCTCATCCTGTGGTCTGAGCACCCTTGCAGAAGATTATTTGCCTGTTTACATGAATGTCTATTTCTGAGCTTTATTCTGTTCCACTGGTCTATATGCCTGTCTTTATGCCAGTACCACACTGTCTTAGTTACTGTAGCTTTGTAATATGTTTTGAAATCAGGAAGTGTGTGGCCTGTGTTGCCCTCCTGCAATCACCACCTTCCCTGTAATTCACTAAAGGCAGTGTCCTCAGCTGGTATCTAGGGGATAAGCTGGAACCTTGGTGGCAATCAGCACAATGTTTCCTTCTGCAACCTTCTCTGCATTTCTGTAGTGCTAATCTGGATCTCCACAAAGAACTCAGATTCTTCCCCACTGACTCAACGGCTCATACCCTTAGATCTAACCAAAGAGTCACCAAACAGTTTGGGGTCATCCATGAACTTTAAAGAAACCTGCATTGTTTGAGGCCAGCAGTAATCTGTGAGTTCTTGGCATCTCCTTTCTGTTAGTCCAGAATGCACAGGATTTGAAAAGTGTATTAGAGTCTATGGTTTGGGGATGATGCTATTTCTTTGCTTCAGGGAAGATAGAGGTTTCCACATTTTTCATTTTGCTGTTATTGTTTTCATGGGTTTGAGGGAAGGAGTGGAGTAAAAAGACCTTACTCTGTCATATTTCAATCTCCCTCTTCCATCTTAAACACTTCTTCACAAATCCTTGGGATCAACCCTAGGCACTTTTAAGATTTTTCACATTTTTTCATCAATCCAAACCTGTTTACTGGTCTTGTTCATGACCAGCTTAAAACTTTTACCAACATTCTACTATCTTCTGTGGGTCTTTCCATTCCATCTCTAATCTTGTAATATACTCTGGGAAATAAGCTTGCAATCCTGGTAATTTTTCCCCCTCGATTATTTCTCCTATCTGTCCTTCCTCATCCAAGTCTTTATGTCCTCACATATTATACTATTAAATATAATTACTCATATATGTGGTTATAACAAATCTTAAGTCTAAGGGATTCAGAGCAAAATGCGCAAAGCCTCGCTCCAAAAAAACTGAAATTAATGTTTTTGATTTGTGTCTCTTCTCCAATACACTCTACATACTAACTATTGATACTAACAATTTATCTTTGTAAAATATCCTTTTGTTAAGAAATCATCAATGGCTTATCCCTACTCCAGAAAAAAAAATCTAAATCCTTAACCTGATATCCAAGAACTAGATCGTGACGTGTGTTATAAAGAAAGAACATGGGGACTTCCCTGGTGGCGCAGTGGTTAAGAATCCGCCTGCCAATGCGGGGGACACGGGTTCAAGCCCTGCTCCGGGAAGATCCCACATGCCGCAGAGCAACTAAGCCTGTGCCCACAACTACTGAGCCTGTGCTCTAGAGCCCATGAGCCACAACTACTGAGCCCATGTGCCACAACTACTGAAGCCCGCGTGCCTAGAGCTTGTGCTCTGCAACAAGAGAAGCCACCGCAATGAGAAGCCCACGCACTGCAACAAAGAGTAGCCCCTGCTCACCACAACTAGAGAAAGCCTGCGTGCAGCAATGAAGACCCAACGCAGCCAAAAATTAATTAATTAATTAAAAAAAAAAAGAAAGAACATGGACTTTGGAGTCCAACTCTCTTCAGTTTCAATACCACATCTGTGTATTTGCTATGTGACGCTGAGTAAGTTTCTTAGCTTCTCTGAGCCTCGCTCCAGACAGGCTGATCTACTTTTTATTACCAACCTGCCAGACACTTTCCCACCATCCGTTCAAAGACCTTTAGACCCTCCATCCCCTCAGATTTCCTCTCTTAAGACCCAGCTCCTCAGTGAAGCCTTTCAGTAATCATTACCACCTCTCATATTGGTTGTTTATTCCCACCGATCATCTGACAAATTTCCTGAGATATTTTACATTTTCCACTGTTCTCAACTAGATTGGAGAACAAACACCTGTTTTGTACATCTCTGTATTCTCAGCCCACAGTAAATGGTCCAATATTTATTAAATAAGTGAAAAAATCTAATATTTCTAAAGCCTCACACAAAACGATTTTTAAAACCTCAAATTATAGATCAGTAATATTTAAAAGCTATCACAAATTAAACATCTTTTTCTTTAGAATAGGAACTGTATGTTAAGGTCACCAAATGGCCCCAGTTGGTAAGTGAAAGATCTTATTAAAAGAATGCCAGTTAGTAAAGGCAGAAGAAATGATAGAATTTTGAAATTGCACCATTTTATAATAGGATTCAGGCAGGGGTCATCAATGCGTCTGGCTGAAACCACGAGGTGAAAAGTTGATGGTTACCTAGATGCTAACCCAATGCCACCGTCACCCCACTGATTACTTGTTGGTTCCAGAAGAAAAAAGGGAACTTGACAATGTGGGCTGAGGCTGTTGCCACCTCCTTAATCCAGTAATCACTCTTAGGATCTCTAATATCAGATGACCAAACACCATGTACCTTCTGATGGGATATCAGGATGAAGGTCACAGGGCCACCTAGGCAGTATTCTTGCCCAAAATGTTCAACCAGAATCTAATCAAGTCTTTATATCTAACTTCTGGTTTATAAGGACTGAGGCTATATGAGTAATTTAGACCACCAGCAGGAAAGGAATCACACAAATTGGGGAAGAATCAGATGGGGAATGTTCTAGTTCAGAAGAGATTTATGGGTCACAACAAGCAAACACAATATGTGGTTCATGGTGGGTCCCACTCTGAACAACCAAGTGTGAAGACATTTTCGGAAAAATCTGGGAAATCTGAATTTAGCCTGGAAATGAGATGCTAAGGAAATATTGTTAACTTCATTAGGTATGACAATGGTACTGTGGTCAGGTAAAAAAAAAAGGTCAATTTTTAGAGATTACCATCGTCTGAGGTCTAATACTTTCCGCTGCTTAATATCTTCAAGAGGAGAATACTGAGGCCACTCCCTTTGATGTCTTCTTCCTTTCTTGTCTGAAGTTTTTTTCTTGGAAATTTGCTTCTTTCCATTGCCTAGAATACAAGAGTATAAAATGAAGTCAAATGAAGTAAGATGCCAAGGCAATACAATTAATTATGTAACAAAATATAAAAGTAACTAGGTCTGAAAATGCTATTTGCAAACATATTGAAGAAATACATGTATCTTCAAGAATATGCCCCTGCCTTAAAGAGAGACAGAGAGAATAAAAACACATTTAAACAACCATGAATGTTATTTCCTATCAGGTTCTTATATTCCAATCCCTGAGCTAGTTACTTAGCTAGTAAAATAATCAATCACAAAATGTTTTGCCACATCTAGAAAATAAAATGACCAACAGTAAAATATTTAACTAGACCACTTTCCAGAAAATGAAACCTTTCTATAAAACAATAAAGCCACCTTAATGTAACTCTGTTGAGAAAGTAAAAGCAGTAGATCCAGTAATCCGATGATGTGATATTTAAAAATAATTCCAGGCCTACAGAGACCACAACATGGATTAAGAATGATGTACATGGGCTTCCCTGGTGGTGCAGTGGTTGACAGTCCGCCTGCCGATGCAGGGCACACGGGTTCGTGCCCCGGTCCGGGAAGATCCCACCTGCGGCTGGTCCCGTGAGCCATGGCCGCTGAGCCTGCGCGTCCGGAGCCTGTGCTCCGCAACGGGAGAGGCCACAACAGTGAGAGGCCCGCGTACCGCAAAAAAAAAAAAAAAAAAAAAAAAGAATGATGCACATAAGTATATTATTAAAATGCAACTTTAGCACCAGGAGCCAGAATGGAAAACAAAGTCTCCTTTCTGTGTGCAAGTATGTATACATGTGTGGGCACGTGCACACACACACACACACATCACACACATTCTCCAAAAGACACAGGGGGAGGGGAAATTGGGAGCCACACAAAAGGGGAGGCAAAAATGAAAGTGAGACTTTACACTCTTTAATTTTTATACTTTTTAATTTCCATCTAATTGATCACCCAGTCAAAAAATTATATAAATTAAAATATTATTAAATAACATCCAAGCCTCATTTCACTAAAACACCATTAACATTTCAGATAGGACTCTTTCCAAGATGGCGGAGGAGTAAGACGCAGAGATCACCTTCCTCCCCACAGATACACCAGAAATACATCTACACGTGGAGCAACTCCTACAGAACACCTACTGAACGCTGGCAGGAGACCTCAGACCTCCCAAAAGGCAAGAAACTCCCCACGTACCTGGGTAGGGCAAGAGAAAGAGGAATGAACAGAGACAAAGGGATAAGGACGGTACCTGCACCAGTGGGAGGGCCTAAAATCATAATAAGTCCACAGACACCCCAAAACACACCACCAGACGTGGACCTGCCCACTAGAGAGACAAGATCTAGCCTCATACACCACAACACAGCCACTAGTCCCCTCCACCAGGAAGCCTACACAACGCACTGAACCAACCTTAGCCACTGGAGACAGACATCAAAAACAACGGGAGCTACGAACTTGCAGCCTGCAAAAAGGTGAACCCAATCACAGTAAGATAAGCAAAATGAGAAGACAGAAAAACACACAGCAGATGAAGGAGCAGGATAAAAACCCACCAGACCTAACAAATGAAGAGGAAATAGGCAGTCTACCTGAAAAAGAGTTCAGAATAATGATAGTAAAGATGATCCAAAATCTTGGAAATAGAATGGACAAAATGCAAGAAGCAGTTAACAAGGACCTAGAAGAAATAAAGATGAAACAGACAATGATGAACAACACAATAAATGAAATGAAAAATACTCTAGATGGGATCAATAGCAGAATAAATGAGGCAGAAGAACGGATAAGTGACCTGGAAGATAAAATAGTGGAAATAACTACTGCAGAGCAGAATAAAGAAAAAAGAATGAAAAGAACTGAGGACAGTCTCAGAGACCTCTGGGACAACATTAAACGCACCAACATTCGAATTATAGGGGTTCCAGAAGAAGAAGAGAAAAAGAAAGGGACTGAGAAAATATTTGAAGAGATTATAGTTGAAAACTTCCCTAATATGGGAAAGGAAATCGTTAATCAAGTCCAGGAAGCACAGAGAGTCCCATACAGGATAAATTCAAGGAGAAATACGCCAAGACACATATTAATCAAACTGTCAAAAACTAAATACAAAGAAAGCATATTAAAAGCAGCAAGGGAAAAACAACAAATAACACACAAGGGAATCCCCATAAGGTTAACAGCTGATCTCTCAGCAGAAACTCTACAAGCCAGAAGGGAGTGGCAGGACATACTGAAAGTGATGAAGGAGAAAAACCTGCAACCAAGATTACTCTACCCAGCAAGGATCTCATTCAGATTTGATGGAGAAATTAAAACCTTTACAGACAAGCAAAAGCTGAGAGAGTTCAGCACCACCAAACCAGCTTTACAACAAATGCTAAAGGAACTTCTCTAGACAAAAACACAAGAGAAGGAAAAGTCCTATAATAACGAACCCAAAACAATTTAGAAAATGGGAATAGGAACATACATATCGATAATTACCTTAAATGTAAATGGACTAAATGCTCCCACCAAAAGACACAGATTGGCTGAATGGATACAAAAACAAGACCCATATATATGCTGTCTACAAGAGACCCACTTCAGACCTAGAGACACATACAGACTGAAAGTAAGGGGATGGAAAAAGATATTCCATGCAAATGGAAACCAAAAGAAAGCTGGAGTAGCAATTCTCATATCAGACAAAATAGACTTTAAAATAAGGACTATCAGAAGAGACAAAGAAGGACACTACATAATGATTAAGGGATCGATCCAAGAAGAAGATATAACAATTGTAAATATTTATGCACCCAACATAGGAGCACCTCAATACATAAGGCAAAAACTAGCAGCCATAAAAGGGGAAATCGACAGTAACACATTCATAGTAGGGGACTTCAACACCCCACTTTCACCAATGGACAGATCATCCAAAATGAAAATAAATAAGGAAACACAAGCTTTAAATGATACATTAAACAGGATGGACTTAATTGATATTTATAGGACACTCCATCCAAAAACAACAGAATACACATTTTTCTCAAGTGCTCATGGAACATTCTCCAGGATAGATCATATCTTGGGTCACAAATCAAGCCTTGGTAAATTTAAGAAAATTGAAATTATATCAAGTATCTTTTCCGACCACAACGCCATGAGATTAGATATCAATTATAGGAAAAGAGCAGTAAAAAATACAAACACATGGAGGCTAAACAATACACTACTTAGTAACGAAGTGATCACTGAAGAAATCAAAGAGGAAATTAAAAAATACCTAGAAACAAATGACAATGGAGATACAACGACCCAAAACCTATGGGATGCAGCAAAAGCAGTTCTAAGAGGGAAGTTTATAGCAATACAAGCCCACCTTAAGAAGCAGGAAACATCTCGAATAAACAACCTAACCTTGCACCTCAAGCAATTAGAGAAAGAAGAACAAAAAAACCCCAGAGTTAGCAGAAGGAAAGAAATCATAAAAATCAGATCAGAAATAAATGAAAAAGAAATGAAGGAAACAATAGCAAAGATCAATAAAACTAAAAGCTGGTTCTTTGAGAAGATTAACAAAATTGATAAACCATTAGCCAGACTCATCAAGAAAATAAGGGAGAAGACTCAAATCAATAGAATCAGAAATGAAAAAGGAGAAGTAACAACTGACACTGCAGAAATACAAAAAATCATGAGGGATTACTACAAGCAACTCTATGCCAATAAAATGGACAATCTGGAAGAAATGGACAAATTCTTAGAAATGCACAAACTGCCAAGACTGAATCAGGAAGAAATAGAAAATATGAACAGACCAATCACAAACACTGAAATTGAAACTGTGATTAAAAATCTTCCAACAAACAAAAGCCCAGGACCAGATGGCTTCACAGGCGAATTCTATCAAACATTTAGAGAAGAGCTAACACCTATTCTTCTCAAACTCTTCCAAAATATAGCAGAGGGAGGAACACTCCCAAACTCATTCTACGAGGCCACCATCACCTTGATACCAAAACCAGACAAGGATGTCACAAAGAAAGAAAACTACAGGCCAATATCACTGATGAACATAGATGCAAAAATCCTCAACAAAATACTAGCAAACAGAATCCAACAGCACATTAAAAGGATCATACACCATGATCAAGTGGGGTTTATTCCAGGAATGCAAGGATTCTTCAATATACGCAAATCTATCAATGTGATTAACCATATTAACAAATTGAAGGAGAAAAACCATATGATCATCTCAATAGATGCAGAGAAAGCTTTTGACAAAATTCAACACCCATTTATGATAAAAACCCTGCAGAAAGTAGGTGTAGAGGGAACTTTCCTCAATATAATAAAGGCCGTATATGACAAGCCCACAGCCAACATCATCCTCAATGGCGAAAAACTGAAAGCATTTCCACTAAGGTCAGGAACAAGACAAGGTTGCCCACTCTCACCACTCTTATTCAACATAGTTTTGGAAGTTTTAGCCACAGCAATCAGAGAAGAAAAGGAAATAAAAGGAATCCAAATCGGAAAAGAAGAAGTAAAGCTGTCACTGTTTGCAGATGACATGATACTATACATAGAGAATCCTAAAGATGCTACCAGAAAACTACTAGAGCTAATCAATGAATTTGGTAAAGTAGCAGGATACAAAATTAATGCACAGAAATCTCTGGCATTCCTATATACTAATGATGAAAAATCTGAAAGTGAAATCAAGAAAACACTCCCATTTACCATTGCAACAAAAAGAATAAAATATCTAGGAATAAACCTACCTAAGGAGACAAAAGACCTGTATGCAGAAAATTATAAGACACTGATGAAAGAAATTAAAGATGATACAAACAGATGGAGAGATATACCATGTTCTTGGATTGGAAGAATCAACATTGTGAAAATGACTCTACTTCCCAAAGCAATCTATAGATTCAATGCAATCCCTATCAAACTACCACTGGCATTTTTCACAGAACTAGAACAAAAAATTTCACAATTT